CGGCCGGGGGTATGGTTTATTTGCAATCGTGTCATTACGATTTCTTAAGTCAAGTCCACGTTGGACCGTAACGCCGTCATAACCTTCTTTCTCCTATGTGCGGGTCATTTGTGTTATGTTTCAGTCACGGTAATGTATCTTTTTGTTCCTGACTACTAATTAAAGAGGGGCAGGTGTAGCCTTGCCCATACGACCTTATATGTTGGGGGGATGAAATTCAAGACCTTGTGACTGTCACCTTAACTCACGGTCACCAGTCAACAACAGACCTTTGTCTTTTTTTGTATTGTTTTGTATTGATTTTTCTTGCCATTTGGAAGTGGGTAACTTTCTGAGTTTAAGTGGGAGGGAAGGAAATGATGGGTGGAGAAGCCAGAGGGATGAGAAGGATGGGTGGAGGAGCCAGAAGGAAGAGAATGAAGGGTGGAGGAGGTAGGACACATATGCAACAGTTAGGTATCTTCATTTCGAAATGTTTCGCCTACACAGTAGGCTTCTTCAGTCGAGTACAGAAGAACTGATAAAAGCAGAAGAGACGTGAAGACGATGTAATCAGTTCATCACCCTTAAATTTTTGAGGTGGTCAGTCCCTCAGTCTGGAGAAGAGTATTGTTCCATAGTCTGAAACAATATGGAGTTAAGTGACAGGATGGAGCCTTAAATACCACCAGGAGGTGAGATGTAGGTCACTAGTAGAAGTAAGAATGTAGTCGTTGGGAGGTCACGTCCCTCTCTAATCCATATTGTTTCAGAGAGGTACATTCCAACAATGGAGTGGGGAGAGAGGTGCATTACAACACTAGAGTGGGAGAGGAGGTATACTACAACACTGGAGTGGGGAGAGAGGTACACTACAACACTGGAGTGGGGAGAGATGTACACTACAACACTGGAGTGGGGAGAGAGGTACACTACAACACTGGAGTGGGGAGAGATGTACACTACAACACTGGAGTGGGGAGAGATGTACACTACAACACTGGAGTGGGGAGAGATGTACACTACAACACTGGAGTGGGGAGAGATGCACACTATAACACTGGAGTGGGGAGAGATGTACACTACAACACTGGAGTGGGGAGAGATGTACACTACAACAATGGAGTGGGGAGAGAGGTACACTACAACACTGGAGTGGGGAGAGATGTACACTACAACACTGGAGTGGGGAAGAGATGTACACTACAACACTGGAGTGGGGAGAGATTGTACACTACAACACTGGAGTGGGGTAGAGATGTACACTACAACATGGAGTGGGGAGAGATGTACACTACAACACTGGAGTGGGGAGAGATGTACACTACAACACTGGAGTGGGGAGAGATGTACACTACAACACTGGAGTGGGGAGAGATGTACACTACAACACTGGAGTGGGGAGAGAGGTACACTACAACACTGGAGTGGGGAGAGATGTACACTACAACACTGGAGTGGGGAGAGAGGTACACTACAACACTGGAGTGGGGAGAGATGTACACTACAACACTGGAGTGGGGAGAGATGTACACTACAACACTGGAGTGGGGAGAGAGTACACTACAACACTGGAGTGGGGAGAGATGTACACTACAACACTGGAGTGGGGAGAGAGGTACACTAAACACTGGAGTGGGGAGGAGAGTGTACACTACACACTGGAGTGGGGAGAGATGTACACTACAACATGGAGTGGGGAGAGATGTACACTACAACACTGGAGTGGGGAGAGATGTACACTACAACATGGAGTGGGGAGAGATGTACACTACAACACTGGAGTGGGGAGGAGAGATGTACACTACAACACTGGAGTGGGGAGAGAGGTACACTACAACACTGGAGTGGGGGAGAGAGGTACACTACAACACTGGAGTGGGGAGAGATGTACACTACAACACTGGAGTGGGGAGAGAGGTACACTACAACACTGGAGTGGGGAGAGAGGTACACTACAACACTGGAGTGGGGAGAGAGGTACACTACAACACTGGAGTGGGGAGAGAGGTACACTACAACACTGGAGTGGGGGAGAGAGGTACACTACAACACTGGAGTGGGGAGAGAGGTACACTACAACACTGGAGTGGGGAGAGAGGTACACTACAACACTGGAGTGGGGAGAGATGTACACTACAACACTGGAGTGGGGAGAGATGTACACTACAACACTGGAGTGGGGAGAAGATGTACACTACAACACTGGAGTGGGGAGAGAGGTACACTACAACACTGGAGTGGGGAGAGATGTACACTACAACACTGGAGTGGGGAGAGATGTACACTACAACACTGGAGTGGGGAGAGATGTACACTACAACACTGGAGTGGGGAGAGATGTACACTACAACACTGGAGTGGGGAGAGATGTACACTACAACACTGGGAGTGGGGAGAGATGTACACTACAACACTGGAGTGGGGAGAGAGATGTACACTACAACACTGGAGTGGGGAGAGAGGTACACTACAACACTGGAGTGGGGAGAGATGTACACTACAACACTGGAGTGGGGAGAGAGATGTACACTACAACACTGGAGTGGGGAGAGATGTACACTACAACAATGGAGTGGGGAGAGATGTACACTACAACACTGGAGTGGGGAGAGATGTACACTACAACACTGGAGTGGGGAGAGATGTACACTACAACATGGAGTGGGGAGAGATGTACACACAACATGGAGTGGGGAGAGGATGTACACTACAACACTGGAGTGGGGAGAGATGTACACTACAACACTGGAGTGGGGAGAGATGTACACTACAACAATGGAGTGGGAAGAGATGTACACTACAACACTGGAGTGGGGAGAGAGGTACACTACAACACTGGAGTGGGGAGAGATGTACACTACAACACTGGAGTGGGAGAGATGTACACTACAACACTGGAGTGGGGAGAGATGTACACTACAACACTGGAGTGGGGAGAGATGTACACTACAACACTGGAGTGGGGAGAGATGTACACTACAACACTGGAGTGGGGAGAGATGTACACTACAACACTGGAGTGGGGAGTGATGTACACTACAACATGGAGTGGGGAGAGTGTACACTACAACACTGGAGTGGGAGAGAGATGTACACTACAACACTGGAGTGGGGAGAGATGTACACTTCAACACTGGAGTGGGGAGAGAGGTACACTACAATAACATAAGAGATAGCCTTTCATAGTTGGGTAACTACATGCTCCCTCTCCCGCTTGTTACTTGTTGCATCAGTCAGTCTTGCTTCATGTTGTATCAGTCTTGCTTCATGTTGCATCAGTCTTGCTTCATGTTGTATCAGTCTTGCTTCATGTTGCATCAGTCTTGCTTCATGTTGTATCAGTCTTGCTTCATGTTGCATCAGTGTTGCTTTATGTTGCATCAGTCTTGCTTCATGTTGCATCAGTCAGTCTTGCTTCATGTTGTATCAGTCTTGCTTCATGTTGTATCAGTCTTGCTTCATGTTGTATCAGTCTTGCTTCATGTTGCATCAGTGTTGCTTCATGTTGCATCAGTCTTGCTTCATGTTGTATCAGTCTTGCTTCATGTTGTATCAGTTTTGCTTCATGTTGCATCAGTGTTGCTTCATGCTGCATCAGTCTTGCTTCATGTTGCATCAGTCTTGCTTCATGTTGTATCAGTCTTGCTTCATGTTGCATCAGTGTTGCTTTATGTTGCATCAGTCTTGCTTCATGTTGCATCAGTCTTGCTTCATGTTGCATCAGTCTTGCTTCATGTTGCATCAGTCAGTCTTGCTTCATGTTGCATCAATCTTGTTTCATGTTGCATCAATCTTGCTTCATGTTGCATCAATCAGTCTTGCTTCATGTTGCATCAGTCAGTCTTGCTTCATGTTGCAACAGTCAGTCTTGCTTCATGTTGCAACAGTCAGTCTTGTTTCATGTTGCATCAGTCAGTCTTGCTTCATGTTGCATCAGTCAGTCGTGCTTCATGTTGCTTCAGTCTTGCTTCATGTTGCATTAGTCAGTCTTGCTTCATGTTGCATTAGTCAGTCTTGCTTCATGTTGCATCAGTCAGTCGTGCTTCATGTTGCTTCAGTCTTGCTTCATGTTGCATTAGTCAGTCTTGCTTCATGTTGCATCAGTCAGTCTTGCTTCATGTTGCATCAGTCAGTCGTGCTTCATGTTGCTTCAGTCTTGCTTCATGTTGCATTAGTCAGTCTTGCTTCATGTTGCATTAGTCAGTCGTGCTTCATGTTGCTTCAGTCTTGCTTCATGTTGCATTAGTCAGTCTTGCTTCATGTTGCATTCAGTCAGTCGTGCTTCATTGTTGCTTCAGTCTTGCTTCATGTTGCATTAGTCAGTCTTGCTTCTGTATGCATCAGTCAGTCGTGCTTCATGTTGCTTCAGTCTTGCTTCATGTTGCATTAGTCAGTCTTGCTTCATGTTGCATCAGTCAGTCGTGCTTCATGTTGCTTCAGTCGTGCTTCATGTTGCTTCAGTCTTGCTTCATGTTGCATTAGTCAGTCTTGCTTCATGTTGCATCAGTCAGTTGTGTTGTAGAGGTCGGAGCGAAGCTCTTACCTCTACAACACAGTTGTTCTTAAAGATCCATTAAGTTATACCATGAATTAATCAAAGCTCCTGGACTTCACCTTACGAAGCAGACAAAGCAAATCCTATAGTAATTATGGACAAGGTAAATTATAGGGGAAAAATTACTTATTATTAGATAACAGGGGAAATTTCATGCCCCTCAACAGATCAGCTTATGGAATTAATATCATTTTCGAGAATTGTAACCAGTGGAAAGTAGGTGAAGTTGAGTATGTTGTGCGATATGCTGAGGCAGTAACAACCTTTCTCAGTCTCTCAGTGTTGCTGACTACTAACTTGTGTTAAGTGTAGTGTTCCGCACTGGTGACTGTCTCACCACTTGCACAAACATAACGAGTGAAGGTGACTGACGACAAGTGAGTTTACAACATGCTGACTTCTGTGTTCCAATCACAAAGCTCTCCAAATTCTAAGCAACTTCATCGATTCAGATTCTGTGTCAAATGATGTTTATATATTTTTGAAATTCAATTGATTATACATGATGTGTTAATATTATTGACAGATGGCACCACAAACCACAAGTATAAAGCAAAGAACAGCTGGCATAACCATGAATATTATTTCGTTGATAAACACAGTTTGTAAACAGCAAGAAACCGTGTGACTTTTCAGATAAATTTTGCAGTTTTCTGGAGTTTAAGAGAATATAGAACGTCGAGTGGTTCTACAGGTATTGTTGCACAGACTTTACTTTACAGATGAAGTTCGTGTTGTTGCTCTCTGTGGTCGGGCTGGCCACCTGCCAGTTCAATTTTGGACGTCGACAGTTCTTCAGGGGACAACGTCCAAGACAAGGAGGTTTCAACAGGTTCCCTCAGCAACAAGGCGGCGCCCAGGTGAGCTTGCTACTAAACTTGTGTACTTTTGTGTGTGTGTGTGTGTGTGTGTGTGTGTGTACTCACCTAGTTGTACTCACCTAGTTGAGGCTGCAGGGGTTGACTGCCAGCTCCTGGCCCCGCCTCTTCACTAGTCGCTACTAGGTCACTCTCCCTGAACCGTGAGCTTTATCATACCTCTGCTTAAAGCTATGTATGGATCCTGCCTCCACTACATCGCTTCCCAAACTATTCCACTTCCTGACTACTCTGTGGCTGAAGAAATACTTCCTAACATCCCTGTGATTCATCTGTGTCTTCAACTTAAAACTGTGTCCCCTTGTTGCTGAGTCCCATCTCTGGAACATCCTGTCTTTGTCCACCTTGTCAATTCCTCTCAGTATTTTGTATATCGTTATCATGGCCCCCCTATCTCTCCTGTCCTCCAGTGTCGTCAGGTTGATTTCCCTTAACCTCTCCTCGTAGGACATACGCCTTAGCTTTGGGACTAGTCTTGTTGCAAACCCTTGCACTTTCTCTAGTTTCTTTACGTGCTTGGCTATGTGGGTTCCAAACTGGTGCCGCATACTCCAATATGGGCCTAACGTACACGGTGTACGATTCCTTAATAAGTCGGAATGCTGTTCTGAGGTTTGCTAGGCGCCCATATGCTGCAGCAGTTATTTGGTTGATGTGCGCTTCAGGAGTTCTTGGTTGTTACACTTAAACCCAAGATCTTTTTCCTGAGTAAGGTTTGTAGCTTGGCCCCCTAGCTGTACCGTCTGCGGTGTTTCTTGTGTGTTGGTGTGTGTGTGTGTGTTAGTTACCATTTGGTCCTTAGGCATATGTCCGATTAGACACGTAGCGCTGTTTTGTAGTGTGTGCATGTGTGTGTGTGTGTGTGTGTGTGTGTGTGTGTGTGTGTGTGTGTGTGTGTGGTTGTGTGTGTGTGTGTGTTGTGTCTCTGTCTGTCCTGTCTCCTGTGTTGTTGGCTGTGTGGTGTGTGTGTGTCGTGTGTGTGTTGTTGTGTGTGTGTGTGTCTCACCATTGTGTGGCTAGGTGTGATGTAGGTAGGCTGGTTATGTGATGCTGTGTTGTGTATGTCTGTGTCTGTGTGTGTGTTGTGTTGTGTCACCCTTCGCCTGCACATTGTAGGACACTAGGCTGAGACATGCTTAGCTCCTGTGGTCCCCCTATCTTCATCGAACGTACTAGGTCCTCCTGCTCCCGCTCCATGAGCTTTATTCTCCCCTCCATGAGTCTTTATATAGCTTAAAGATGTTTTCCTGCCTTCACTGCATCGCTCGCCAGACTGTTCCACTTCCTGACCACTCTACGACTGAAGAAATGCTTCCTAACATCCATGTGGCTCATCTGAGTCTTCAACTTCTACAAGTGACCCCTTGTGTCTGTGTCCCCTCTCAGGAACATCTTGACTCTGTCCACCTTGTCTATTCCATGCAGTATTTAGTATGTCGTTATCATGTCTCCCCTATCCCTCCTGTCCTACAGCGTCGTCCTGTCGATTTCCTTCAACTTTTCTTAACAGGACATTCCCCTTAGCTCTGGAACTAACCTTGTCGCAAACCTTTGCAGTTTCTCTAATTTCTTAACGTGCTTGACCCAGTGCAGGTTCCAAACTGGTGCTGCATACTCCAGTATGGACCTGACGTACACGGTATACGGTGTCTTGAAAGATTTCTTACTTAGGTATCGGAATGCTAATCTCAGGTTTGCCAGGCGCCCATATGCTGCAGCAGTTATCTGGTTGATGTGTGTTTCCAGAGACATGATCCGTGTTATACTCACCCCAAGATCTTTCTCCTTGAGCGAGGTTTGCAGTCGTTGGCCACCTAGCTTATACTCTGTCTGTGTGTGTGTCTGTGTGTGTTTCTGTGTGTGTGTGTGTCTGTGTGTGCCTGTCTGTCTGCTTCTCTCTGTCTCAGAGAGTGGCTCATGAACTAACAGGCATTACACATAATGCAGAGTCGTCATGCCTGATTCCTAATAAGAGAAAATGTGTATTACTTGCCAGTCATGCTTATTACGCCTTATATATACAAGCACAGTACAGCACTTTGTCTGGATGTTTTGGGTTATCCTAGGTAATTTACACTATGTATGATAACTATATTTATGTGTACCTGTGAGCGAGAGACATACAGAGACAGAGGCAGACAGAGGTAGAGACAAACAGAGAGAGAGAGAGAGACAGCCAAAGTCAGTCAGCCAGCCACCCAGTCGGTTGGCCAGCCAGCCAGCCGGCCAGCCGAATACGTATTACACATATTGCAGAATCATTTTCCTTTACTTAGGGCATAGGTTATAGGACATTCTGGCTGGATGACACTACTAGTGGTATCAAAAACGAAAGGATGTTGCACAAATGTTGTGCATGGGTTATTATCGAGGCTTTTGATATTTCCTCAACTACTTGTGGCCACATCCATCTTAAACTCACTAAACTCTGGGCCAACATCACTGTTTTGTGTGTGTGTGTGTGTACTCACCTAATTGTGGTTGCAAGGGTCGAGACTCAGCTCCTGGCCCCGCCTCTTCAATGATCGCTACTAGGTCCTTTCTCTCTCTGCTTCCTGAGCTTTGTGTGTGTGTGTTTGTGTGTGTTTGTGTGTGTGTGTATTTGTGTGTGTGTATTTGTGTGTGTGTGTGTGTGTGTGTGTGTGTGTGTGTGTGTGTGTGTGTGTGTGTGTGTGTGTGTGTGTGTGTGTGTGTGTGTGTGTGTGTGTATTCACCTGACTGTCGTTGCAAGGGTCGAGTCATACTTCCTGGCCCCGCCCCTTCACTGGTCGCCACTCGGTAAACTCTCTCCCTGCTCCATGAGCTTTATCATACTTCTTCTTAAAGCTATGTATGGTACCTGCCTCCATACCTCACTTTCCAGATTATTTCACTTCCTAACAACTCTATGGCTGAAGAAATACTCCTAACATCCCTGTGACTCATCTAAGTCTTCAATTTCCAATTGTGACTCTTTGTTGCTGTGTGTCCCATTTCTGGAACATCCTGCCTGTCCACCTTGTCGTTTCCTCTCAGTATTTTATACGTCGTTATTATGTCGTCCCTGTCCCTCCTGCCCGCCAGTGTCGTCAGGTCGAGTTTTCTTAACCTCTCCTTGTAGGACATAACCCTAACACCGGGACTAGTCTTGTTGCAAACCTTCGCACTTTTTCTACTTTTCTGACGTGCTTGGACAGGTGAGGGTTCCAAACTGGAGCTGCATACTCCAATATGGGCTTAACGTACACTGTGTACAGGGTCCGGAACGACTCCTTATTGGGATGTCGGAATGCTGTTCTTAGGTTCGCTAGTCGCCCATATGCTACAACAGTTATTTGGTTGATGTGCACCTTAGGAGTTGTGCTCGGTATTATACACATTCGAAGATCCTTTTCCTTGAGTGAGGTTCGTAGTCTTTGGCCCCCTAGACTGTACTCTGTCTGTGGTCTTTTTTGCCCTTCCCCGATCTTCATTACTTTTCACTTGATGTGGTTGAACTCCAGAAGCCAGTTGCTGGACCAGGCCTGCAGCCTGTTCAGATCCCTCTGTAGTCCTGCCTTGTCCTCCTCCGACTGAATTCTCCTCGTTAACTTCACAACGTCTGCAAACAGGGACACATCTGAGTCTATTCCTTCCACCATTCACATATACCAGAAACAGCAACGGTCATAAGACTGACCCCTGTGGAACCCCACTCGTAACAGGCGCCCACTCTGACACCCACTCTGCTGGTTGTCGTTTATAATCTCATTCCTTTCTATGTGGTCCACCCCTCTTCTCCTGATAATCTTCTCCATGACTTTGCATACATGTCAGTGACACTTGTCTGTAGTTTCATGCTGCATGTCTGTCCCAATTTTTAAAAATTGAGACTACATTTGCAGTCTTCCATACCTCAGGTAGTCGCCCTGTGTAGATAATGTGTTGAAGATTATTGTTAGTGGTACACATAGCGCCTCTGCGCTATGTGTATCACTCACAATAATCTTGGACTCACGGAGAGATGTTATCGAACCTCATCGCTTTTGAGAAATCTAGTTCGCTTAGCAGCCTCTTCACCTCCTCCTCGGTTGCATGAATCGTGTCCAGCACTTATTGGCGCATCCCATCTCTCCCTTTTTCTGGAGTCCTTTGTGTCTCCACCCTGAATACTTTTCTGAATCTCATGTTGAGCTCCTCACAAACTTCAAGGTCATTTCTTATAAACTCCCTTCTTCCTTCCTTCCTCAGCCTGATTACCTGGTGTTTGACGGTTGTTTACTTCCTGGTGTGGCTGTACAATAGCTTTGGGTTAGGTTTGGCTTTGGCTCCTATGTCATTTTTGTATTGTTATTGGGCCCCTTCCTTACTTCCTCCCTTCTTGCTCTTCGACTACTTTCCGTGTTCTCCTGGCTCCTTTACCTTCCATACTTCTTCCATTTTCTAGATCACTTGGTTTTAGCCTCTCTACACCTAAGGGTGAACCAAGGGCTCGTCCCGGCCTTCTCATTATGTCTGTTGCCTTTGGGTACAAACCTCTCCTCCGCTTCCTTGTTTAATTGTTGTCACATATTCCATTATCTCATTTACTGTTTTCCTTGCTAGTTCTCTGTTCCACTGGACCTCGTGCAGGAAATTCCTCATGCCTGTGTAGTCCCTCTCTTGTGTCTTGGCTTTATTCGTCCTGCCCTTCCTGCTTCCCTCTCCACTTGTAACTCTACTATGTATTCGAAGCTCAGAATCACGTGATCACTTGCTCCGTGGGGCCTTTCATATGTGATGTCCTCAATTTCTGCACTTGCTCAAGGCGAATACTAGGTCCAGTCTTGCTCGTTTATCCTCTCCCCTCTTTCTGGTAGTATCCCTAACGTGTTGGTACCTTCATCATCTTAGCCCTCCACGGTTCTGGGCCCCCTTGTGGCTCCAGGTTTTCCCAGTCGATTTCTTTGTGATTGAAGTCGCCCACAACCAATAGCTTTGCCCTGTCCACGTGGGCCCTTCTGGGCACTTCAGCCAGTGTGCCAACCCTTTCGCTGTTACTCTCATCATATTCTTGTCTTGACCTCCTGCTGTTCTGTGGTGGGTTATACATAACTGCGATCACCACCTTGGGACCTCTTGCCTGAAGTGTTCCTATTATATAGTCCCTTGCTTCTCCTCTGTCCCCTCTCTCCAACTTCTCAAAATCTCTTTAATTTTTTGATGAGCAGTGCCACTCTTCCACCCCCTTGTTTCCTGTGTATGTGTATGTGTGTGTGTGTGTGTGTGTGTGTGTGTGTGTGTGTGTGTGTGTGTGTGTGTGTGTGTGTGTGTGTGTGTGTGTGTGTGTGTGTGTGTATCTCATCGATACCTCAATGTATTGCCTCAAATACACCTGTGTTCGGTGAGGCTAGAGTGGCTGCAGGGAGAAAGGCAACATCAATGCGGATAGTCAACGGGTCGAGGAGTGTGCCATGAGAACAACTGGGGACCACCAGTAGGAAATTTCTGGTTCTCACTGCCAGAAGACGAGCGCTGTCTTTTAAAACCTGACACACTCTCAACCATTACTAAGGCTATATTCTCCACTGCTGGGCTATCTCAGTGTGACTGTAGTTACTGGAGAGAGCAGGTCTGGTTTCGAAGCCTGTTAGATTATCCCAGAGCCTGGCTCCATCAATGAAGTTTGAGTTACGAACGCTAACATTGCCCCTAAGGTATTCAGGAAGAATCGCTGCAACAAGTTCACTGGATGCCACATAACGACAGGAAAGCAGGTAGTGCAGTCTGTGATGCTTTTGGACACCAGTTTTTTTTTACTTTAAACATTGATTTATGTGTTGTTAATCGATTAGCTGATACGCATTTCTTTTATTTTGCAACCAAACGAACCTCACAATCTAACCTAACCTTGTTAAACTAGTTCGACAACCTCATTCAACATTGCTAAACTAACAAGGAATCCTCACTGAACTCTGCTTATCTAATTTGGCAACCTCACTGAACCTGGCTTCAATAACTTGACCTCATTTAAATATGCTAAACTAATTTGAGTACCTTATTTAACCTTGCTACACTAACTTGGCAATATTATTAAATTTACTTGACATTGTAATCTTGTTAAACTAAATGCAATATAATATCGCCTCATCCTACTCAAGGTTCCTTAGTTCAGCATCAATTTTGTTAGTCTTATTTAGCATTAATTTAATGAATTAGTTTCACGATGTTTAGTATGATTTCAGAAGAGCTACTGAGAGACTTAAACATTGTAATCTGCTTACTAGGCAGAATGTTTGTTACTTCGTCTGTTCCAATGGTAATATCTGCCTAAAATAAATATGTACCTACACATGTTACGTGCTGCATGAAATGTTTGCCTTATGACTCAAGAGTCTCAAAACTCCAGCCCGTCGCGTTAGCCACTGGACCAGCTAGCCACAATAAGATTCATCCAACTAGGTATATTTCTACACCATAGGAAGGTTAGCACAGGCACCTTATTGGTGAATAAATAATCATTATTATAATAAAACAAGCGTTAAAATCGTATGAATCAAACAATGTACACGTTAAAAGGAACGATTAGATGAGTTGTGGCGAAGACACTCAATGAAAAAAAATATGGGACAATATATTTGGTTCAGGCAGAGTCGCCTAATTATTATATTTTTATCATTTGTTTGAAGATGACATTAATGAACTGTATGTGTGGTGTAGGCTGACGACGTCCGTGGTGGCAGTGCTTACTACTACTCTTGGAGACACGACGGTGGCAGAAAGTACACTGGTAATGCCGCTGCCAGCTTGTGTGCCAGTCTTGGCGGTGGATGGCAAGCCGTGGGAATCAGCTCCAATGAGGAACTCAATTACATCAACAGCGTTGTTGGCCAAGGTTGGTTTCCATTGTTTTGTGCGTATTATGTTTTCCTCATGGAGACAGAAATTCAAAAGAATAACTGGTGTGTGTACTTCGATCCCTTCAACAGATCCTTTGCCTGCATCGAGTTACCTTGTACATAGCCATGTTTATTTCTTAACATAAAAGGTTTTAGTTAAAGCATAGGTAATGTTTGGAATAATTTATTTAAGTCTTGACATATTTCCCAGTTTATGAGCATTATATTCGTTTCTGTTTTTCTTTTATAGTTTATTTGACGATTAAACGTACATTTTTTTCTTCCACGCAGCAAGACTAGAGTACATCTGGACTGGTGGTGTGAAGTCTGGCAACGGCTGGAGGTGGCTGAATGGCGAACCTTTCCGTGTTACTGGTTGGTCACACACTGGAGGGTAAGTTATTCATAGGTATAATGATTTTGTTATTGGGGTTTATAGGGCCACTGACAGCGTACGCTGTATCAGGCCCTTACACTGATGGATGAAATGGTTTGGTGAGAGTATAACTAGAAGGGGTCCTGCAGTGGTTCGTGCTGTGCGTGACCCCTTACTCCTCCTGGTATATGCTGACGACCTACCAGTGATGAAAGACACGTCCCCCTAAATCTATGATAGCGGACGATGTCAAGTTATGAGGATAGGAATGAAGAAATGAGCAGGAAATTGCAAGTTAAATAGCTACTAAAGTCCAACTCCAGCAAGTGCCAAAAAAAAGAAAAAGCTGGATCCTGGAAAAAAGACAGATCATAGGCAGCATTCCACATGGGTGGGAAACAACTTACGAAATCTAAAACATCGAAGAGCAAGAATTTGAACAAACGGGTGACATAATTAGCTAGTAAATTAAATACATTTTTTGACTAAATTGCTTCTCAAAATTAGAGGCGTCTTGATAAAGTTTTACTGTCACTAGCCATCTATCCTAGCTACCAGGAGTGTATTTACCAGGAGTGTACTTACCAGGAGTGTACTTACCAGGAGTGTACTTACCAGGAGTGTACTTACCAGGAGTGTACTTACCAGGAGTGTACTTATCAGGAGTGTACTTACCAGGAGTGTACTTACCAGGAGTGTACTTACCAGGAGTGTACTTACCAGGAGTGTACTTACCAGGAGTGTACTTATCAGGAGTGTACTTACCAGGAGTGTACTTACCAGGAGTGTACTTACCAGGAGTGTACTTACCAGGAGTGTACTTACCAGGAGTGTACTTACCAGGAGTGTATTTACCAGGAGTGTACTTACCAGGAGTGTACTTACCAGGAGTGTATTTACCAAGAGTGTACTTGCCAGGAGTGTACTTACCAGGAGTGTATTTACCAGGAGTGTACTTACCAGGAGTGTACTTACCAGGAGTGTACTTACCAGGAGTGTACTTACCAGGAGTGTACTTACCAGGAGTGTACTTAACAGGAGTGTACTTACCAGGAGTGTACTTACCAGGAGTGTACTTACCAGGAGTGTACTTACCAGGAGTGTATTTACCAGGAGTGTATTTACCAGGAGTGTACTTACCAGGAGTGTACTTACCAGGAGTGTACTTACCAGGAGTGTACTTACCAGGAGTGTACTTACCAGGAGTGTACTTACCAGGAGTGTACTTACCAGGAGTGTACTTACCAAGAGTGTACTTGCCAGGAGTGTACTTACCAGAAGTGTATTTACCAGGAGTGTACTTACCAGGAGTGTATTTACCAGGAGTGTACTTACCAGGAGTGTACTTACCAGGAGTGTACTTACCAAGAGTGTACTTGCCAGGAGTGTACTTACCAGGAGTATATTTACCAGGAGTGTACTTACCAGGAGTGTACTTACCAGGAGTGTACTTACCAGGAGTGTACTTACCAAGAGTGTACTTGCCAGGAGTGTACTTACCAGGAGTGTATTTACCAGGAGTGTACTTACCAGGAGTGTATTTACCAGGAGTGTACTTACCAGGAGTGTACTTACCAGGAGTGTACTTACCAAGAGTGTACTTGCCAGGAGTGTACTTACCAGGAGTATATTTACCAGGAGTGTACTTACCAGGAGTGTACTTACCAGGAGTGTATTTACCAGGAGTGTACTTACCAGGAGTGTACTTACCAGGAGTGCACTTACCAGGAGAGCACTTACCAGGAGTGTACTTACCAGGAGTGTACTTACCAGGAGTGTACTTACCAGGAGTGTATTTACCAGGAGTGTATTTACCAGGAGTGTATTTACCAGGAGTGTATTCACCAGGAGTGTATTTACTAGGAGTGTACTTACCAGGAGTGTACTTACCAGGAGTGTACTTACCAGGAGTGTACTTACCAGGAGTGCACTTACCAGGAGTGTACTTACCAGGAGTGTACTTACCAGGAGTGTATTTACCAGGAGTGTATTTACCAGGAGTGTATTTACCAGGAGTGTATTTGCCAGGAGTGTACTTACCAGGAGTGTACTTACCAGGAGTGTACTTACCAGAAATGTACTTACAATATAGTGTTGACTCACAGGGTCCATATATCTCCATCACATTATAGGCTCACAACCAGCTCAGTGGTAGTACCTTCTGCTCACAACCAGCTCAGTGGTAGTGCCTTCTGCTCACAACCAGCTCAGTGGTAGTACCTTGTGCTCACAACCAGCTCAGTGGTAGTGCCTTCTGCTCACAACCAGCTCAGTGGTAGTACCTTCTGCTCACAACCAGCTCAGTGGTAGTACCTTCTGCTCACAACCAGCTCAGTGGTAGCACCTTCTGCTCACAACCAGCTCAGTGGTAGCACCTTCTGCTCACAACCAGCTCAGTGGTAGTGCCTTCTGCTCACAACCAGCTCAGTGGTAGTACCTTCTGCTCACAACCAGCTCAGTGGTAGCACCTTCTGCTCACAACCAGCTCAGTGGTAGTGCCTTCTGCTCACAACCAGCTCAGTGGTAGTACCTTCTGCTCACAACCAGCTCAGTGGTAGTACCTTGTGCTCACAACCAGCCTACACTTCACACTCCTAGATAAGACTTGGCATCACAATACTCTAAGACTTCCTCTTTTCCCCTTCTCATATACACTGACGATCTTTCTTCTTTTCATAGCCTATTTAACGCTTCACTTATTTTCTTACTCTATTATATTTTCTGATTTTTTTCGCATCCTCCACTGACCATCTTATCCCTCTACTACCAAGTTTCTAAATACATTGTGAAAGTCTTTCGTTTTCCTTCTTTTGCACTTCCAAACGCGTCTGTTAATCTCTGCGGCTTATTTTCTATTTTTCCTATTCTTTTCACTCAAGTTTTTCTATCTTGAATCGTTCTTTCATTCATAACAACAGTCAGTCTCGCAATTTTATCAAAATTAAATCAACAGAAACTCATTTAACACAGTTTCAAGATTTCTGTTTTGTTTTCGTTTATGTTTAGTTTTGTAAATAAGGTACCAATACCGGTGTTCCAGACACTTTGGTAACCAAAAACTCTCACGGGAACTGGAGGAGGATTTTAATACACATTCACTTCGGAAGCATATATTACAGATTTGAGAATCCGATTCAGAGGTAAAACAGTCTTTCACCACATGTGAAATCAGTCCTTGAATATGTACGTATACCTGGAGGGTATTCTGGGGGTTTATGCCCCCACGGCCCTGTCCGTCAATGTATTGGCAAATATTAAGCTGTGTGAATTCAATTTTGAGAGCAAGCTGGTTAAGTAGGAATGCAGAAAAAGTGTTTATATTATTCCAACATTTGAAAATGCTTCGATATTTAGAAATAAACAGTATATCGAAACATAAGCCGCATGATGGGGATATTTCACAAACTGTAACCCAGACATGGCGCCAGTATGGTCGTATTCCACCTACTGCTTTTAGCATCAGTTTGATAATAAATTAACTTCTGTCAGTGAAAAAATAACTACAGAAGCTAGAGCTGACGCCTCCTTCCACAATGTTGACTACATGGAGGTTATTATTGCATATATGCACACTCGCACTGATACGAGGTGATAAACTACTGGACGAGCATTTATAAACACAAAAATATCTTAACAAGAAGTACTTACCGATACCAAATATTACACTCACAAAGGCAGACTTTAATAAACTAAGCAAGGCAAATATACTGACACACGAGACCTTACACAAGCAAACCTTACATTAAATATACATTGTATATTTCACCAGATTGCTTGTTGTGGAATATCTGTTGGACACAGTATCCAGTTTTTATTATAAATTTATTTAGTGATAGTAGACCATGTATAGACTTAGTATTTATATTTCAGAGCTCAGCGACCTCAGCCTGACAACCGTGAGGGTGGTCGGGAGAACTGCCTGGCCGTCCTCAATAACTTCTATGGTGATGGCATCAAGTGGCATGACGTGGCCTGTCACCATGAGAAAGCTGTCATCTGTGAACGTCGGGCTTAATGCCTCTTCCTCCAACATTTTTTTTTTACTCTTTCCCTTATTTTCTTTCACTTTCTCCTGCTCTCTCCCTCTCTCATTCCTCTCCCAGGTTCCTTCCGCCATCTGTGACTGGGGAACACCAGAACTCTCTCATCTTTTCCATATCGCTTGCGCTCGTTCTTCCCTCTACCTGCACATTACAGGATGCTTTCAAGATTATTTGTGTTTTCTGTTTCTTTAATTTGATTTTTTTAAGAAGATCAGTGATTCTTCATCTCGGTTTGCAGACTGGGCATCGTTGCTTCTGCAACTTGTATCTTTTTGTATATGTTAATAATAAAAGTCTGAAAAGAGTCTCTCTCTCTCTCTCTCTCTCTCTCTCTCTCTCTCTCTCTCTCTCTCTCTCTCTCTCTCTCTCTCTCTCTCTCTCTCTCTCTCTCTCTCTCTCTCTCTCTCTCTCTCTCTATCTATCTTTCTCTCGGTTTAATAAACATCTTTATTTCCTGGGTAGAGAGTACCAAGAAAGGCATGTCCTTCCCCTCCGTTGTTCAGTGTTAAGGTCAACATTTGCTTTTGTTCCCCCTAAAGATAACAGTGATAATTAAGTACTCGTTTTCTAGCACCTTAAAAAAGTTATATTTCCTTGGAGCTTTGTTCATCATTCCTCTAGAACAATGACAATCTTACTTGCCAGAACCATAATCTTATATCACAAGTTCTGTAAAGTTCTGATGACTGTGTGGAGGTAAGGCAAAAAGATAGAAGTGAAAACATCAGTTACCAACAGAACTTGTGATACGTGATTAATTTTTTCCAGTCGACTCTGAGTTATTTAAGATATTTATTTATCGAAAATATTGCTTTTGTAAATTAACTTGTTACCATTCGCAAGATAAATAAAAATTATTATGTAAATACGTTGCGTATACTTTACCAATCACCTCGTGACTCAGTTACAATCAGCCACACACAAGATGAGACTAATTAAGGGCTGAAGGAGATGTGTTAGCAACCCCTCAGAGTAGTCAGCAGTGTTTATATTTGAATGAACACGTGTGTCCGCAATTAGTGTTGTTACAGAGGTACCCTAAGGGAGGTTCCTTGACGCTGGTGAGAGGCTCTTGATCTAGGAAATTGGATCTGTGCTTCAGTTCCCTGAATTGAGCCTGAATGCCTTCCATCCCTCCCACGTGCGCTGTATACTCCTACTGATTTAGTTCTCCCTCATGATTATAATAATAATAATAATCATAATAATAATAATAATAATAATAATAATAATAATAATAATAATAATAATAATAATGATGATGTTACAGAGGCGATGATTTGTAGATGAGTTGTTGATGATCGCACAATATGTTCTAGCCAGGAACTAGGTCCTCTCTCTCCCTGCTCCATGTGTGTGTGTGTGTGTGTGTGTGTGTGTGTGTGTGTGTGTGTGTGTGTGTGTGTGTGTGAGAGAGAGTGTGTGTGTGTGAGTGTGTGTATTCACCTAATTGTGGTTGCTGGGGTCGAGACACAGATCCTGGCCCAGCCTCTTCAATGATCGCTGCTAGGTCCTCTCTCTCTCTCTGCTTCCAGAGCTTTGACATACCTCGTCTTGAAGCTATGTATGGTTCCTGCCTCCACTGCATCACTTGCTAGGCTATTCCAATTCCTGACGACTCTATGACTGAAGAAATACTTCCTAACATCCCTCTGACTCGTCTGAGTCTTCAGCTTCCAATTATGACCCCTTGTTTCTGTGTCCCCTCTCTGGAACAACCTGTCTCTGACTACCTTATCTATTCCACGCAGAGTTTTGTATGTCGTTATCATGTCTCCCCAGACCCGCCTGTCCTCCAATGTCGTCAGTCCGATTTCCCTCAACCTTTCTTCGTAGGACATTCCCTTGAGCTCCGGAACTAGCCTTGTTGCAAACCTTTGCACTTTCTCTAATTTCTTGACGTGTTTGACCAGGTGTGGATTCCAAACTGGTGCTGCATATTCCAGCATGGGCCTGATGTACACAGTGTCTTGAACGATTCCTTACTAAGGTATTGGAACGCTATTCTCAGGTTTCCAGGCGCCCATATGCTACAGCAGTTATCTGGTTGATGTGTGCCTCCGGAGATACGCTCGGTGTTATGGTCACCCCAAGATCTTTCTCCTTGAGCGAAGTTTGCAGTCCTTGGCCACCTAGTCTATACTCTGTCTGCGGTCTTCTTTGCCCTTCTCCGATCTTCATGACTTTGCACTTGGCGGGGTTGAATTCAAGAAGCCAGTTGCTGGACCACGCATCCAGCCTCTCCAGGTCTCTTTGAAGTACTGTGTGTGTGTACTCACCTAGTTCAGGTTGCAGAAGTCGAGTCCAAGCTCCTGGCCCCGCCTCTTCACTGGTCGCTACTAGGTCACTCTCCCTGAACCGTGAGCTTTATCATACCTCTGCTTAAAGCTATGTATGGATCCTGCCTCCATTACATCGCTTCCCAAACTATTCCACTTACTGACTACTCTGTGGCTGAAGAAATACTTCCTAACATCCCTGTGATTCATCTGTGTCTTCAACTTCCAACTGTGTCCCCTTGTTGCTGTGTCCAATCTCTGGAACATCCTGTCTTTGTCCACCTTGCCAATTCCTCTCAGTAATTTGTATGTCGTTATCATGTCCTCCCTATCTCTCCTGTCCTCCAGTGTCGTCAGGTTGATTTCCCTTAACCTCTCCTCGTAGGACATACCTCTTAGCTCTGGGACTAGTCTTGTTGCAAACCTTTGCACTTTCTCTAGTTTCTTTACGTGCTTGGCTAGGTGTGGGTTAAAAACTGGTGCCGCATACTCCAATATGGGCCTAACGTACACGGTGTACAGGGTCCTGAACGATTCCTTATTAAGATGTCAGAATGCTGTTCTGAGGTTTGCTAGGCGCCCATATGCTGCAGCAGTTATTTGGTTGATGTGCGCTTCAGGAGATATGCCTGGTGTTATACTCACCCCAAGATCTTTTTCCTTGAGTGAGGTTTGTAATCTCTTGCCCCCTAGACTGTACTCCGTCTGCGGTCTTCTTTGCCTTTCCCCAATCCTCATGACTTTGCACTTGGTGGGATTGAAGTCCAGGAGCCACTTGCTGGACCAGGTCTGCAGCCTGTCCAGATCCCTTTGTAGTTCTGCCTGGTCATCGATCGAATGAATTCTTCTCATCAACTTCACGCCATCTGCAAACAGGGACACCTCGGAGTCCATTCCTTCCGTCATGTCGTTCACAAATACCAGAAACAGCACTGGTCCTAGGACTGACGCCTGTGGGACCCCGCTTGTCACAGGTGCCCACTCTGACACCTCGCCACGTACCATGACTCGCTGCTGTCTTCCTGACAAGTATTCCCTGATCCATTGTAGTGCCTTCCCTGTTATCCCTGCTTGGTCCTCCAGTTTTTGCACTAATCTCTTGTGTGGAACTGTGTCAAACGCCTTCTTGCAGTCCAAGAAAATGCAATCCATCCACCCCTCTATGTGTATGTGTGTGTGTGTGTGTGTGTGTGTGTGTGTGTGTGTGTGTGTGTGTGTGTGTGTGTGTACAATCACCTAATTGTGGTTGCCGGGGTCGAGACTCAGTTCCTGGCCTCCTGTAGAAGGTGGAGATTTCGGGAATGTAAAGCTAGGCATGTAGTTTAGCCTGAAGATTTCGTTGATGGTGAAGTTGAAGGATCCAGGTATAGCTATATTGTGCATATGGGCGTATGTTATACAGTGGATTTTTATGGATTCATCGGCAGGTATTGGCGGTAATGTAGTGCTGGTGGAGGACGAAATTTGAGTGGCCTTGAGTATTTTGGTGGTGTCTGCTTGCAGTTTTGTAGTTGTAGCATATGTTGGAAATTTTGCAGCACTTTTATTTTTTGCTGTTCCATTTGTTTCTTGAGAAAGTCTCTTCTAGTTGGACATCTAGCAGCGAGGGTGTGGTGCTCATTCTTGCAGTTTAAGCATTTAGGTGGAGTGGTGGTGGTGCAAGCCTTGAAATCATATCCTTCGTTGCCGCAGGTCGAACAGAGCTTCTTATCCTTGGTAGGACAATTCTTGATGGTATGCAGTTACGAGTAACAGCTGTAGCATTGTGTGATATGCAAGAATCTCTTGGCTTCAATGTAACTTGGGTTGATATGGAAGTAGTAGATTGCTAGGCCTTCTCCCAAAGCTTGGGTTGCCATGTTGACATCAGTGAAGGTGACCTTTAGCATTGAGGAAGCGTTAGGTATTTTGGCAATATGTTCCACCGTGGTCCAAGGGTTCTGATCTTCTACTGATGATTTAACATCTTCAACAGCGTGAGTTATGATGAGCTTGTTCAGTCGTTTAAGGAACACAGTTCTCTTGGCCCTCAAAGCTGGAGGAGTCATGATCTGAAATCCTCATTCGTAAAGAGAGGATGTAGCGTCAGTGGTGATGAGTTTCTCGTCTTCATTGTCGTCAGAACAGATGACAATGAGAGCGTCTTGGAGCGAGAGAATCTCATTACATTTTACCTGCAATCTGCTGCTAACGGCAGCTTCAAGTGCTAGTTTGGACGACTCATTTACTGGACGAGTTATTTACTGGACGAGTTATTTACTGGACGAGTTATTTACTGGACGAGTCATTTACTGGACTAGTCATTTACTATCTCGGATTGATCTTCAGACGGTTTGACAAATGCATCGTGAAAGATGACGACGAATGCAGAGGTAAACGTTCTTCTCCCAACGGGAATCGTAGGGAGACTGTAATGGTGAGAGTAAGGCACGTAATCCAACTTACGAACACAGCCTAGCTGGTCAGGACTGTGTTCGTAAGTTGGATTACACTCCAGAATTATAACTACTGTTGACATTTAACGTATAAAGCAAATGAGTGACCACTACGAGATGTAGTGATGTGAGTGGGGTGGGGTAAGGGGGGAAACGGAAGTGCAGGACGTGAGGTAGAGAGGGAGATAGAAGCGTCGTAGGAAGGGAGGGAGGGAGGCTTTAAATATAATAGTTTAACAACGAATCTTTAATGATGATGATGATAATGATGATAATGATGATGATGATGATGATGATGATAGATAATAATAATAATAATAATAATAATAATAATAATAATAATAATAATAATAATAATAATAATAATAATAATAACCATACCTGGAGTATAGCTGAAGAAGGTTTCGGGGGTGAACGCCCCCGCAGCCGGGCCTGTGACTAGGCCTTCCGGTGGATCAGGGCATGATCAACCAGGCTGTTACCGCACGTAAGCCGACGTACGAACCACAGCCCGGTTGATCAGGTACTGCCTTTAGGTGCCTGTTCAGCGCCTTCTTGAAGACAGCCAGGGGTCTATAATAACTACAATATAATCAAGCTAACGCTAGATCATTATAATTATTATTATTATTATTATTATTAATATTATTATTATAATCATAACTAAGCGCTAAACCCGAAAGGGTCATACAGCAAGTGCTAGACCAGAAAGGGTCATACAACACAGTGGAAAGATAAGGTAATTAAGTTTCTGTCGTATTCCATCATCACAGTGCTGGAACCTGTCAGCCTGAGCTGGAAGACTTCAGTGGAGTCGTGTCAGTGTGTGTGTGGGAGGGGGAGGCTGTCAGCCTGAGCTGGAAGACTTCAGTGGAGTCGTGATAGTGTGTGTGTGTGTGTGTGTGTGGAGGAGGGGAGGCTGTCAGCCTCAGCTGGAAGACTTCAGTGGAGTTGTGTCAGTGTGTGTGTGGGAGGGGGAGGCTGTCAGCCTGAGCTGGAAGACTTCAGTGGAGTCGTGATAGTGTGTGTGTGTGTGTGTGTGTGTGTGTGTGTGGAGGAGGGGAGGCTGTCAGCCTCAGCTGGAAGACTTCAGTGGAGTTGTGTCAGTGTGTGTGTGGGAGGGGGAGGCTGTCAGCCTGAGCTGGAAGACTTCAGTGGAGTCTTGTCAATGTGTGTATGTGTGGGAGGGGAGGCTGATAGCTTGAGCTGGAAGACTTCAGTGTAGTTGTGTCAGTATGTGTGTGTATGGGAGGGGGAGGCTGACAGCCTGAGCTGGAAGACTTCAGTAGAGTCGTGTCAGTGCGTGTGTGTGTATGGGAGGGGGAGGCTGTCAGCCTGAGTTGGAAGATTTCAGTAAAGTCATGTCAGTTTGGGGGACGAGCGGCTGTTAGCCTGAGCTAAGAGGCTTCAGTAGAGTCGAGTCTGTGTGTGTTGAAAGGTGTGGCTGTCAACCCGAGCTGGAAGACTTCAGTAGGGTCGTGTCAGTGTGAGGGAGGGTGCGGCTGTCAACCTGAGCTGTGAGGCTTCAGTAGGGTTGTGTCAGTGTGTGTTGGAAGGGCAACTGTGAGCCTGAGCTGGGAGGCTTCAGTAGGGTCGTGTCAGTGTGTGTGGGAGGGAGCGGCTGTCAGCCTGAGCTGGGAAGCTTCAGTAGGGTCGTGTCAGTGTGTGTGGGAGGGAGCGGCTGTCAGCCTGAGCTGGGAAGCTTCAGTAGGGTCGTGTCAGTGTGTGTGGGAGGGAGCGGCTGTCAGCCTGAGCTGGAAAGCTTCAGTAGGGTTATGTTAGTGTGTGCAGGAGGGTGCTGTTGTCAACCTGAGGTGAGAAAGTTCCGTAGGGTCGTGTCAGTGTCTGGAAGAGAGCGGCTGTCAGTCTCTGCCAGGAGGCTTCAGTAGGGTCGTGTCAGTATGTGTGGAAGTGTGCGTCTGTCAGTCAGAGCTGGAAATCATCAGCAGGGTCATGCAGGTTTGTGTGGGAGAGTGCGTCTGTTAGTCAGAGCAGGAAGACTTCAGCAGGGTCGTGTCAGAATGTGTGTGTGGGAAGGGCGGCTGTTAGCCTGAGCAGGGAGGTTTCAACTGGGTAGTGTCAGTGTGTGTGGGAGGGGGCAGATGTCAGCCTGAGCTGGAAGACTTCACTAAAGTCATATCAGTGTGTGAAGGGCTGTCTGACTGAGCTGGAAGGTCTGGAAACCAGACTCCTTTGAGCGGGCTATCAGACTATTTCTTCTGGGGAGGAGCATCTGACTTTTTCTTCCGAGATGGGCATCCTGTGCTCCATCCTGGCTAGATACAGGGGATGTGGTTAGACGAAAGGTGAGAATTGTCCCATGAAGGAAGACCCCACAGCAGCGGTGAAAGAGGATGGTCCTGTGGTTAGAGGCAGCGGTTGCATAGGATAGGATAGGATGCAGGAGGTACTGCATCCTACTGGCCTCTTCAAAACCCAGTTTCAACGTAGAGCGTATCATTCCTCACGATGTGTTGTGTGTGTGTATGTGTGTGTGTGTGTGTGCACCACGCACACACATGCACACACACACACACACACACACACACACCCGCACTTGATAAAGCACGTCAAGAAACTAGAGAAAGTACAAAGGTTTGCGACAAGGTTAGTTCCAGAGCTAAGGGGAATGTCCTATGAAGAAAGATTAAGGGAAATCGGCCTGACGACACTGGAGGACAGGAGGGTCAGGGGAGACATGATAACGACATATAAAATACTGCGTGGAATAGACAAGGTGGACAAAGACAGGATGTTCCAGGGAGGGGACACAGAAACAAGAGGCCACAATTGGAAGTTGAAGACACAAATGAGTCAGAGAGATAGTAGGAAGTATTTCTTCAGTCATAGAGTTGTAAGGCAGTGGAATAGCCTAGAAAATGACGTAGTGGAGGCAGGAACCATACACAGTTTTAAGACGAGGTTTGATAAAGCTCATGGAGCGGGGAGAGAGAGGGCCTAGTAGCAACCGGTGAAGAGGCGGGGCCAGGAGCTAGGACTCGACCCCTGCAACCACAAATAGGTGAGTACAAATAGGTGAGTACACACACACACACACAACAGTACAGTGTCAAATTCGGCTCCACACGCAACTGAAGTGTAATGGGCTGCCTTACACTTGGACTTCTGGTGGCAAAACTTCTGGTACTTCAGACTTGTACAAGGAAAGGGAGACATACGACTTCACATCGAATTCCCTCCACCCAATATTTAGGTACATGGGCAAGTACGGTTGGTAGAATGTGAGAGCTAGTCAATTAGTGTTTACCTGAAAAGAGCATTTGGCTAACTGCCAAAGGTACTCAGTATTCGGGTAGTAATGGACGAGGGCAAACCTACAACAACACTGAGAAATGCACAACATCAGTCACCACCTCTGGAACCGATGGTGAGCTCGGGTAGTATTTCTGCCGTCATGAAGCCGCCAGATGAATCGCTCAGCGTGCTAACAAGAAGGCGAAACAAATAGTTGTAGCCAGGGAGACTTAACTACCTCAGACTTATTTTTTAGTCTGATTTTGATCTTGCATTTTCGTGTATTTCATCGCGTTTTCATATTTCATCTTAGGTAAACAGACTGTGCTCGATCTTCATTACTTGATATTTATTTTTTACAACAGTAAATTTGTGTAAATACATTTAGTAAATAAATACATAATTAGTGGAATTGCAAAGTTCTCCTTGAGGCGCAGATGGCAGGCACGACATGGAGAGAAACGGTGAGAACTCCAGAATCGTTGGGTGAAACTCAAATCAGTAAGATCAGTAAGGTGAGATAGTTGAGGGTGGAAATGTGTTAGGGGATTTATGCCCGACGTTCACATATGACTGGCTTCACGTGGTGGCAGGCCACGTCGTGCCACTTAATGCCATCGTTGTAGAAGTTGTTGAGGATGGCCAGGCAGTTCTCCTGACCCTCGCGGTTGTCTGGTTGAGGTCGACTGAATCTGAAACAAACATTACATTATTTACATTTGTTCAGATTATTCATGATAATCTGGGTGCTGCTTAATATTACAGTAAAAAAAATTTGTGCCTATTAAATGTTTCTGTATTGTGCATGATTTTCCTCGTACTCTCTGCTCAGTTTACATCCTGTGGGTATGTGTACTCATGGTGCTATACTCATCTAGCTATGCAGTTGAGTGCAGAGCTAATACTCCTGACTTACTTAAACAATTAAACAACTTCTGACCCTGTTCAGGTTCATTTCTGTCTAGTTCTGATCCCTCCCATATTAACTCTCACACTCATATAGCCAGTGAATATCTACTAGTGCATCGTTATTCTGACTTCGCTTTACCAATGGTTTAATTAACCCTTTACGTCCAGTTTGGTGAGAAATACTTGAAAGTTAAACCTTCTAAAGTTTCCATTATTTTCATGCTACGTTTTGATAAAATTGATGTTGAGTAAGAGGGTTTCTGTTAGGTAGGATGAACTCGTTTTGATTATTTCTTAGCTCTGGTCTCCCCTCAAGGGAGGTGAGGGGCTCTTGATCTAGGGAACTGGATCTATGCTCCAGTTCCCTGAATTGAGCTTGAATACCATCCACCCCCCCCACCCCCAGGCGCTGTATAATCCCTACGGGTTTAACGCTCCCCATGATTATAATAATAATAATAATTACTTTTAGTCCCAGAAGCACTGTTTTTCTGATGACTTTCGAAGCTTTTCTCTGTTTTCACCTCTAGCTGCTATTTTTTCGCTCATTTTTCTAAAATTACATTATTTCACAACGATGCATTTCACAATCAATCTCTAAAATTCGCTTTCACAACAATACTACACATTAATTTCTTACTGTATATTATGTTTGTGTGTAAATGTGTGTCTAGAGATGTTCACTTCAGTATGGGAGGTTCAACCCAACATTACAAAATAAAGTTAGTGAGTGACAGGTACAGGTAACTTGCAGCATTAATGTTCCTCTTAGTTAATGCTTTAAAACTACTTACACGTTTAGGTATTTTATTAAACCCGTGATTTCCCTCTGGTAACCTTTGATCAATTTCTTAATCGTTTCTATTGATCTGGAGTGCTATTTTTTTTCCTTCATTAACATTACTAACATTCAATATCTACCCTATTAATTTAATGACTTTACTATTTACAGCTTTGCTATTACCTCTGATTTCCTGTGTATTTTTTAAGTTTTATCTGTTGCTGACAGCATGAACGGATTTTAGGTTCTTCCAGATCGCTTATTTGTGAGAACTTAGTGTGGGTGGGTAGGGTTGGGGGTATTCTATATTTATCACCTAAGTTATTGCACCAGAAGTCACTTCCACCTTTAAAATTAAACTTCTGTCAAGTTTTCTTCCAATTACGTAAACTGGAATTTTTTTTAGTTCAGACAAGATTGTTAAGAGACGAAGTATAAAGTTGAAGGTCTGTCATCCTTGTCAATAATTTACTCCACTTTGAGTCTTGTGTATGGATAGTTACCATTTCTTTAAGAAAGAGCTATTTATCTTTATTTTTAATAGCTTTCCATTGCTTATTTATCACATTTGTCACTAATATAAATGTATACTTTATAACATCGATCTCACTAATGTGATGAACCTCGTGTTAAGGACCAAACAAGAAACTGTGCCATTCCAACTGTTTTTTTATAAGCGTTACGGGCAAAGGATTGGCATGATGGTTAAGTAGGTTGTAATTTACTTTCCATTAGAGGTCAACCATGTTCTAGTTTGTCTCTGGTTTCCCTCGTTCTTTCAATGAGGTTTCTAGGTTGGTTTAACTCTAGCAACCATTTTGATTTTGCTAATCCAAGTTTCATAGTAGCCTGCTATCCTTCCTCTATCACCAAATGTAACATAGGTCAACCAGCGGTATATACTGTTGTGGCCACCTACTGGGCAAACACTTGCCCCAACTTTCTCAGGTATCTTTAGACAATTTGCCGAGTCCTCACTGTTGAACTGGCACCAGTGAGCAGGTAGTATTATGATTAAGACCCATAGCATGGGGCTTTTCCATGTTGCGAAAATTTTATGAACAAGATGTAGTCAGTTTACAGGCAGGTTTAATATTTAGTAGACAGGTTGAGTTCTGGTATTGAACACAAAGCGGCACAACAGCTTATGGCCTCTCATACCGAGATTTCATCGTGGACGCAGGTATTCCCTGGGCCATGCTTTTTACTTCTCTTGTTACCTTTGTCCGAATCTGCAGTTTCTAACGTAATCTTCAGCGACATTAAAGCAAAGACTCACTGTCCCTGACTACGCAGAATGCGTAAGTTAGTGTGCAACTTACCCTCCTGTGTGTGACCAGTCAGCAACACTAAAAGGCTCGCCATTCTGCCATCTGAAGCCGTTGCCAGACCTTATACCACCAGTCCAGGTGTATTGCAATCTTTCTGTGTGAACATTAGAGAAAAGTTTACTAAGAAATTAAGAAATTAAACGAGTAAAGTGTATTAATGTCAATTATAATTCATATATGGATTCCTCTATGTAAACAACAATCCTCACATTAATAATTAAGTTTCCCCTAAGTAAAAGTTGTGCGATTTGTTGCAGCCTCGTTATTAACGTATCCTTCACTATGTAAACATTGAAGCAGCACTTCAGAACATGAAACATGGGCATATGTAGGTTAAAATATAGAGGAAAATACATAAATCTGAAAACCAAGAGCCACTAACCTCTCCCAACGATGCTATTTATGTACGCGACTTCGTCAGGAGAACTGATACCCACGGGTTGCCATCCTCCGCCCAGACTTGTACACAGGCTGGCAGCGGCATTACCAGTGTACGTTCTGCCACCGTCGTGTCTCCAAGAGTAGTAGTACTCGCTGCCACCACGGACGTCATCTGCCTACATACAAAAAAATGGTAGAAGGTAAGTAGACTAAATACTTTGTTACAACGCCTTAAGCCATTAAACTTTGACCACGATTAGAAGTTTACTGACGACATGTACGTAAGTATAAAGCTGGTTATAAGAACATAAGAACATAAGAACATAAGAACATAAGAACGAAGGAACACTGCAGAAGGCCTACTGGCCCATGCGAGGCAGGTCCAAGTCCCTACCGGCTTAAGCCAATGCACCCAACCTAGTCAGGTCAGGTCACATTGACTTAAGGGAGGAACACGGCAACCGACCTGTTAGCACAAGCTATCAGGTCTAACTCACACCCACCCACATCTACTCATGTATTTATCCAACCTATTTTTAAAGCTACACAACGTTCTGGCCTCTATAACGGTACTTGGGAGTTTGTTCCACTCATCCACAACTCTATTACCAAACCAGTACTTTCCTATATCCCTCCTGAATCTGAATTTTTCCAACTTAAAACCATTGCTGCGAGTCCTGTCTAGGCTAGATATTTTCAGCACACTATTTACATCCCCTTTATTTATTCCTGTCTTCCACTTATAAACCTCAATCATATCCCCCCTAATTCTACGTCTTTCTAGAGAGTGCAGTTTCAGGGCCCTTAGTCTATCCTCATAGGGAAGGTTTCTGATACATGGGATCATCTTTGTCATCCTCCTTTGTACATTTTCCAGAGAATTTATATCCATTCTGTAATACGGTGACCAAAACTGTGCAGCATAATCTAAATGAGGCCTAACCAAGGATGTATAGAGTTGAAGAACAACCTGAGGACTCCTATTATTTATGCTTCTTGATATGAAGCCAAGGATTCTATTAGCTTTATTGCGAACACTTATGCACTGTTGTCTTGGTTTCAGATTACTGCTAACCAGAACTCCTAAATCTTTTTCGCAATCCGTAATATTAAGATCTACATTTTTTAGTTTATATGTGGCATGGTTATTGTCCTGCCCAAAACATTTAGAAACTTTGCTTTTGTCTATATTAAACTGCATCTGCCACTTCTCCGACCACTGCATCAGTCTATTCAAATCTTCCTGGAGTGCTCAAATTGTCCTCGTCAGAATGAATTCGACGGCCTATTTTGGTGTCCTCGGGCAAACTTGCCGATGTCGCTCTTTATGCCCCCATCTATGTCGTTTATGTAGATTGTGAACAGCAGGGGGCCAACACTGACCCCTGTGGGAACACCGCTCGTGACGCTTCCCCACTCTGATTTCTCCCCATTTATGCAAACTCTCTGCTGCCTATTTGTCAACCATGGGCCTTTTATCCAGGAAAAAATTTCTCCTCCTATTCCATGTGCTTTAATTTTCCTCAATAGTCTCTGATGTGGGACCCTGTTCAAAAGCCTTACTGAAGTCCATATACACAATATCTATTCATTACCTGAAACTACCTCCTCAAATACCTTAGTGAAAAAAGTTAATAAATTCGTAAGGCAGGAACGCCCTTTGTAAAACCATGCGAAAATTCGTGATTAAATTTATGCTTTTCAAGGTGCTACGAACTGCCTCGGCAATATTGATTCCATAAATTTTCCCACTATGGAGTTAGCTATTGGTCTTAGTTCGAAGCTAAAGGACCTGTCACCTTTTGAAAATAGGTATCACATTTGCATTTACACTTATGGCACCATGCCAGTTTGTAGTGGGTATGTTGAAAGATTAGCAAAGGTGTGCTAAGCTCCTCTTTACATTCCTTTAGAACCCTTGCATACAGTTCATCAGGGCCTGGGGTTTGTTAGGTTTAATTTATCTTTTGCCTAAGGCCCCTGTCATTGTGACCTAATAGTGCACAGTTTATTATCGTCCTGTTCTACAATTTATCATTACTGGAATTTTCGCTTGGTATTCCTTTTGTAAAAACTGAGAGGAAGTATGTTTTTAAAAATTCTAAAACATTTCCTATCACTGTCATGAGTGACCGAGGAATTTTTTGGGGGGGCCTATCTTGTCCCTGATCTTAAATTTGTATACCAAAAAGAACCCTTTTTGGGGTTAGCTTCGATTCTCTTGAATTTTAACCTCAAAATCTCTTTTTGCTTTTCTAATTCCCTTTTTTTTTCTCTTTTACTAAATATATCGATTTCTAATTGCCCTCTCCTCTTTTGATTTCCCTATTATCCCTCTTTTTTGACCAATCAAAATTTTTTAAATCATTGTTCACCCTTTTTGGATATTTTTGTTTGATCTGATTTCCCTTTTGGAATTTTAATTTGACTGGCAGCTAGAACTTTGCCCTGGAAAGCATCATATGGGCAACCATCACCACCACCTGACCCCTATAGGTTTTTTCCAGTTCAGCCCACCTAAGTAATTTTTCTTTCCTATGAAATCAGCCAAGCGAAAGTCAGGGACGGAGACTTGATTGCCATTATTAGGGGAATTTCCCCATGATATGTTAAAACTGAGTGATTTGTATCACTCTCCCCCAACTCATCATTAACCTCAAGTTTATTAATTAGTGTTTCCCTACTGGCAAGAACCAAGTCAAGGAGGTTATTTCCCCTAGTTGGCTCTGTCACAAACTGTTTTAAAAAACAATCCTGGATCGTATCAAGAAAGTCACCCGATTTAAATTTCCTGTAAAAAATTGCTCCATCAATCTGTCTATAGTTTGAAATCTCCCATTAGCCAACATTTCGTATGTAGATGCCTTACGAATTTCGTCCCATAGAAGTTTACTGCCTCCCTATCAAGATTTGGGGCCCTGTAAATCACACCCAAAATTAGTTTTTCTCGGCCCCCCGAGAAGCTGTAACCAAACAGATTCAGTGGCTGACGCTTCTAATTTAATACCCTTGTCTAACACAACAATTTAAATTGTCTCTGACATACATCGCTACTCCCCACCTTTCCTGTTGACCCTGTCAGTGTGGAATAATTTATAGCCTTGTATGTGACATTCAGAGGGCATCTCTCTTATCTTTCAGATTGAGCCAGTCTCTGTTATAGCAATAATATCTATGTTTCCTGCACTTGCAATTAATCTTAGCTCATCTATCTTATTTCTAACACTCCTGCTATTAGTATAGTAAACCTAAGGGAGCTAGTCCCTTGCTGCCCTCTGCTGTCCCCCTTTGTTTGCTGACCTGTTCTATGGTCTTTATTTATAACTTCATGCTGAATGCCTTTTATAACATTTACTGTTTCCAACCCTAGTGTTGCAACCTGCTTGTTTCCCACACACACCCATACCTCTATCTTCCATCAGTTTAAAATCATAGGCATTTCACCAATGGCCTTCTCAATCGAGTCTGCAAGTGCACCACCCCTGCCCCAGAGAGATGAACCCCATCCCTTGCATACATATCATGTTTGCCATAAAAGTTGTTCCAGTTGTCAATGAATGGGATTGCAAGTTCCTTGCAGTATCTGTCTAGCCAGCAATTTTACACCAATTGCCCTAGACAACCATTCATTTCCTACTCCCCTTCTAGGCAAGATGCTACATATGACTGGGATCCCTCCCTTAGACTTAATGAAATCTATAGCTGACCTGTACTTATCTAGCAGCTCTTCTCTCCTACCCTTCCCAATATCATTTCCACCAGCACTGAGACAGATAATGGGCTTGTTCCCATTACCTGACATGATATTATCCAGTCTGTTGACAATGTCCCCAACACCAGCTCCAGGGAAGCACACTCTATCTCTCATCTTCTTATTCCTATTACAAAAAGCACGGTCAACATATCTTACCTGAGAGTCACCAACCACAAGAATGCGCTTACCTTCATTAGCAGGGGCATAATTTACCTTCATTAGCAGGACCATAATTTTTAAAGGGGTGGACCGGTAAGCCAGCGGAAATCCTCGGTCAGATGACCAAAAGTTCTAATGGCAGGTCTTTATCTAAGACCCGCATCAAGAAATACTTGTTCTGTTTCCTGACGAACCTTACCTAAGCTAACTGACATGTACGTATATTTACTACTATACATGTACGTATATTTACTACTATACATGCGGCAGAGATGCATGGAATTAAAGCAAAATGCTGAAAACTAATGAAAATTTAATAAATCAGAGTGCACGCTTTCCAAAAATGAAATTCGATGCAGTAGCTACCCGTGTAGTGATTACTATGGACATTCAGGTAATTTTAGGTGGCTCCGTAATAAGAGCCATAACAGCCAATTTTCAAGTTGCACGAAATATTGTAAGACTTTAAAATGCTTAGATTACGATACAACACTGATTTTAAGAGAATGATCAGAGGACGAGTTAAAATTTATCGTGTGTGTGGAATATTTTGAGAATTTTCCTGCGATTTGTGTAAAAATTTATGGGGATAATAATGTTTAAATGAAATCGTGAAAGTGTATATCTTCAGTGACTTTTAAAAGATGTTCTGGGACATGAGACCCAATACTCTCAAAAATTTCTTTATATTCTGTAAGGAGTTGATTAAGTAAAGTGAAAATTGTTGTAATTTAAAGTTAATTAGTATTTCAATAATGAAAGTGTTAATGAGATAATTCAGAAGATGTATTGGTACACAAAACGTTTTGAGGGGATAATCAAAGATGGCGTAATGTGTACATTGTTCCGATCAGTGGTGTAATTAATCGTACTTAATCGAAACTGATAGAAATAGTATCGACATAAATTAGGTACTATGAAATAAGTTAAAGTGGAGCGGATCTGGAATAATACAGATATAGAGACCAGTCATCAGAATAATGCCGATGAAGATTAAACAAAACGCTGTGTTATCTGGATGAAGAATAGTGTCCTATATAATTTTCTAATTATGAACTTAATCTATGTAAATAATCACTCAGACAAATTACTTATGTCAAGCCAATCAATAATCCTTAATATACAGTCCACTTTTAATACAGTGTTACTGGCTTGAAATATTTTATTTAATAAAGATTCAAGAACTATGTGTTAATATAAGATCTAAACGTGAACTGGGGAGCTGAGACGGTGGGCATTGAAGGAGTAATTTAGTGATCCATTATTCCTCAACTCCCACATGTTACCGAGGTACATCAATATTAGTCAGTATAATCTGTTTTAGACTTACCAGAGTTCTCCCCAGTTATGTGTGTATGAGAAATATTAATTCAGGATTGTACCTGTGAAATTAATACGCGTAATTTCTCGCAGTGCAGAAGCTTAGATAAAGTCAAACTTCTGTTTCAGGTGTCCTATTTGAGAGGATAATCGATTGTAAATTTATAGTAATTTATTATTAAACAAATTTTAAATGTTAGATTTTATTGTTCTGTATTGAATTCGTCTTGTTAGTAAAGAAATGGAAAAGAAAATTCTGATTTTTGTAATTATGTTTTGAGAGTTGATTAGATCAGTTTCCCAGGAATTACATAAGAAGTTTGATTCAAAATTATACCCACATTTACAATTTTTACATTAATATTCTGCCTTCGTGTTGAAGTAAGTGGAATATGGAGAGGGAATTTACGACAGCTATTTATCTTATTATCACTAGCCTATCCAGCAGTCTTAATCTTTCCGTGTTTGTGTACACACCTAGTTGTGGTTGCAGGTGTCGAGTCACAGCTCCTAGCCTCGCCTCTTCACTGGCCGCTACCAGGTCACTCTTCCTGCTCCATGAGCTTTATCATACATTTTCTTAAATCTATGTATGGATCCTGCCTCCACTACATCATTTCCCAGACTATTCCACTTCCTAACAACTCTGTGACTGAAGAAATACTTTCTAACATCCCTGTAATTCATCTGAGTCTTCAGCTTCTAACTGTAACCACTTGTTGCTGTGTCCTATCTCTGGAACATCTGTCTCTGTTCACCTTGTAGATTTTTCTCATTATTTTATATGTCCTTATCATATCCCCTATATCTCTCCTGTCCTGTGTATGTGTGTGCGTATTTACATGTTAATTGCAAGGGTCGACTAGGCGCCTGACTGCCTCTAACTTACCGAATTTAAAGAGCAAGATATATGCGACAGATGAGTATCTTTATTGCACAAGTGTCTTAATGTTTAACTGTCGGTATTTTATACTATTCTCAACATTACAGAATTTATTGACTCAGCCTCGTGGGCCATCATACTTATTAAAAGTACAGTGAGACTGTCTCCACCCTTGACCAAATTATTCCACTGTCTGATCACCCTGATGCTCAAGAAATTCTTTCGACTTACCGTTCAGTCCAAACATTAACTATACTATAGTGTACCAGCTTCTCGAACTGTTTCATCCCACCTTATCAAGACCAGAGAATGGAATGTTAAGTCTTCCCTAGTTCCTATGTCCTTTAATAAATCTAGGTTCTCTCCTAAAATATCATTTTGCCTTACTCTGATATCTGAATCCCAGTGAACTTTCTCCAGTTCTTTGACTTGCTGAATCAGACGACGGTTCCACGTGTTGTGTACGTGGGTGTAGGTTTCATGTGTGTGCCATGTGTGCTACCTGTGCCTAATTTAAGAAGTAATACTAAAAATTATAGCAAACTTACCTGAACGCCAAATCTCTGAGGTTGGCCACTGAAGAACTGCCTACCAGGGGACCTGAACTGTTGGAACTGACACGCAGCCAACCCCACCACAGTGGCCAACAACACAAAATTCATCTGAAAAATAAACTGAAAGATAATATCGCTTCTATTGAATGTCCTTCCCGTGTTGGGTCACTTTACCCAAGTGGCAGAACTTGTGCTGTCGACCTTCCTGACCTTACCGGAGTTTGATCCCAACGTTCGTGAAAAAAAATTTTCTCTCTATTAAAATTTGCTGTTCCATTTTCTATGACAATGTATGGATATGATTTGTTATGGTATTTATTAATGCTATAGTAAATTCTATCTAATAAGATTAAGTTAGTCATGACATCAATTGGAATTAGTACTAAATCTGAACGATTTCGCTGAAATTAATGAAAATCATGTTTTTTTTTAAACTAAATCTGCATAAATCGATGAATATTTAAAATATGAAGAGGCTTTCTCAACAACGTACTAAGTTAATTTTTTTATGAAATTTCTCAGTTTTACTCCGGTGTTCTGCACTTCAGGGCAATACAAAATCAGTTTTATATTTTGAAATTCATAGCTTGAAATAAAATAGCAATTTAGAAGTGCTATAAAGTTTAGCTATAAAATTTATTCAGCATGAGTCGACTTGATGTTCATGATGGTGTTGGGAGCATGGAGAACATGCACTCGAGGTTCATGATGGTGTTGGGAGCATGGAGAACATGCACTCGAGGTTCATGAAGGTGTCGGGAGCAAGGAGAACATGCACTCGAGGTTCATGAAGGTGTCGGGAGCAAGGAGAACATGCACTCGTAGTTTGTGAAGATGTTGGGACACTCGCAGCCAGACTTAACATCCTGACTGACAACTTGTCTGCAGAATGATACAGTAGAAACTAACATTGCTGCTTTGCCGTCGCTTCCATGACAGTTTGAGGTAAAAAGTGACTAGGAGAGTGAATAATATCCTTCCTCCAAAAATCTGATGAAAAGTGCAGTTACTCATTGTGATTATTACACCACGACCCGTCCTGTTAACCACAGTTATCAGGGCACTGTTGTAAAACAGTCAAATGGGCGACTGTTGAGGGCGCTTGGAATTGTTTCAATTGTAATTCGCCGTCCAGGTTCGGGATTTCGTCCATTTGGTTCAAGACCATGTTTAAAATTTAATTTAAAAAATGTAACGTGGTTAAGTACAGAAGAAATTTTTGCATAATGCAGACTGAATGTTGATATTAACTCACAAGACGAGGGAGTCTGGTGTTTGCGACCAGTTGTAAGACGATATATAAAAAGGTTACATTTCAGTTTGAAAATAAGTCTGCATATCAATTCTGTATACGTAGTTTTTGACAGCTGCGACACATTCGTTGATAGAAATACACTGGTGTGCCAAACATACCGAAGAGTTGAGGTGTGATAATTCTTCAGTGATGATGTAGTGAGTCCCAGCTACTCACCACCACTTACCTTAGCGAGAATGTAATTGGTTTAAGACAGCAGCAACCGTCTTATATACCACTCTTCTGGAGTAGGTGAAGGCTGTTCCTGGCATCCGACCGGAGAGAGACTAGCCATTCAGGTAACAAGTCTTCTGGGATTCTAAACATTTTAACTACTGTCTTACTTGATAGTTAAAGTTGACATAAGTCACCAAAATAATGAAAATACGTTTAAAGAACCAAATGCAATATAGTAGATTATTAATAAATTCTACATCAGACAACAGCATTCGGAATTAAAATGCTATCAGTGCGCTTCCGCTTTCTACATCCTTGTGGTCTTTCCTGCTGGACATTAAGAGTGTCAGTCTTACATGGTACTCTGTCCTTACTTTCAGTGATATTCTTAGTGGTTTCTAGCAAAACTGAACTTCCCTCTACTAACACACAAATGCTGTTTTTCTTTAAGTTACGTTTGGTCAAGTTAAACTTTGTAAAACTTCAAAGCACTTGAATACAAATAATCAAATATAGGAACGGTGGCCACACTTCCTGATGTTGCGGTGGCTGAGCAGAATCACCAAACTTAAACCTGCACTCATAACACTGGGTGAGAGAACGAGTTACCTCGGGTCTCATCTGTTATAAATGTTGTAGGGGTATATATGTTATTATATTGTATGACTGAGCGTAGGATATCCTTTAGTAGTTTAAGATACAGCGACCTTTTTTTTTTTACAAATTCTGTTAATACTGTAACCAGATGCATTTCGATAGCTAAGTGTTCAGAGGAAAGTGTCCCAGTACTTCATAACTCCAGTCCCCTGGGCCTCAGTGCACGCGATTAGTAGTGTAAAATATCCAAACGTTAAAAAAGGGCAAATTAGAATATATGCAGGCCAAATATAATTAAAGATTCTCACAGGATCCAAAGACTAATGTTCTAAGATGCGTGGCGCATTAAGTATTAAGCCGCTGAAATGGTCAGAACAATATTTGAGCTTTTACGTTTTTCCCAGAAAAGCAAATTACCTTCTACGCAGGCGGCTAAAATCGGTCCAAATATTTTTCTAAGACTGACCAGCTTCCAAGAAAGTTTTATGTAACTTTAGCGTACATAACATACAAATTTTTCACAATTGTTTTAAGGACAGATGTCATAGGCTTGTAACACCAAAGATAATCAGATAAAATCACAACGACTTTATTCTCATCAGAAGAAACATTCACCAATTATTTCACAAAAATTAATAGATTAATAAAATTATCCTATGATAACTTATACATAACATGAATAGACCGAAGAAAATATCATCATTAAAAATTTAAAAGCTGACTAGACGATGCATTTTCCAGTTATCCCACAGAATCCAACAAAATTTGCGCCTACACAGGCTAATCCCAAGGAACGTTACTCGTGTCTTCCACATCGCTAGCCATTCTTGATTTCTCCAGTTCTATCCCACGACCGCTCAGCTGCTGGGTTAACCTGGCTCGATACTACAACTAAGAACACTCTTCTTCAGCGCTATTCTTCGCCTGTCCGGTCTTCCCAGCTCACCCCATTGGGATTTTACCTCTCATTCATTCATTCAGGAACGTTCCCCTCCACTTCAACCACTGACGATTGTTCTACGTAACTCAGAGAAAAGCGCTAAATCCGTACTAGTTATATAGCGCCTGTGGAATCGAGGCGAAGACAAGTCCAGTTCCTTAAATCAAGAACTTTTCCAGCATCAAGGCATGATGAGGATAAGAAAGTAGGAGAGTGGCATCACCACCAAGAAATATTCGAACCTGCTGAAATTTTGCAGCCGGTTAGAGGAACCAGTTTTTATTTCACTCGAAGCGTCATTTAGGATTGACTTATGTAGCATTGTGCAGAAAGACCCATGAATCTTACCCATGATTCATTACACCAGCTGTAGAAATTTGAAGCCGATCGAATACTGCGTTCTCGAGTAAAACAAATTTGTGAGCGAACGATAAATGGCCAAAAAAGTGGCACCGACAACCCAAAATTAATACAAAAATATTTCTTATTAAGATAAAACAATATTCCAGCTCGAAAATTTTCAGAAGAGGCCTTAATAAAATTGATAAATTGAAATTTACACAAGTTAAAGCGAACAATAAGCAATATTTAAATGGAAGTCCCAGCTGGGAATGGGTTCTACAAATCTGGGCATCGGAAATGTGAACACCTCGCTTGTTCCAAGAATCTGGTCACCGTTTCCAGTGACCAAATGAAAAAAAAAATCAAGCAGCAGCATAAGAAGCCCTTCAGAGATACCTAATTATCATTAGTAGTGGCGCAAAGGAACTATGTCCATTAGTATCGGTACAAAGACACCATCTCTTAATTTGTATATACACAAAAACACTATCCGTTCATTAGTATTTGCACAAAGACACTGTTAATTGGCTCACTATGTTAACGACGTCACGCAAAGCTAATATATGGACTAGAAGGGAAATCTGACGAGCAGGTGAACCAAAGATTAAGAAATCACTACTTCAATATTTGTTAGCTAAATACACTGCACTAGACAAAATTAGATTAAAAGTTACCATAAGGTGCACGAGCCAGAATTTAAAGAATTTACTGTTACACATCTATCAAGTTTAGATACAAGCATAATGTTATGCTTGCTCAGGCGCCCAGAACGGCCGAGCCAAGGATGACAAACAGCTGCGTTCCAGTTTCCAGAGTAGTGTTAAAGTTTGGCGTCCTAGTGAACTGGCCACCTACTTTAAAAAAAAAGTAAAATATCCCCAAGGCTATGGGTAGTCTTGATAGTGAGAAGTTCACCGCGTGAATCAGAAGAGAAAAATGTAAATGGTGTACTTGGCAGATAGGCTAGGAGTTGTTAGTACAGCCAGTATGTGTTTGTAGGGATTAAAAGTCAATTTTATATTTTTTTCTTGAATGTTTCATTTATCTATATAAAATTGTGCTTGTAAGTATTATACAGTCCACAATATATTAAACAGTATATTGCATTATTCTCTGATACAGTAAGGTGTAAATATTCCATATAATTTGAAGTTATTATGGTATCAAAATGTTGGCATTACAGAGGTGTGTAGTCGAAGGATGATTGTCTAACCTAACCAGGATGTGAACAGCCCCTTGACCAGTAAAATGGTAAAGACTATCCTTTATATTCTACACTGTATGAATAACAGTAAGCACTTAAATAGTGGATAACAGCATAATAAAAAAATAATAAGTCAAACCCTTTCAGTGCTAAAATAGGGGAACCTCTTGTTAAACTTGCCTGCAGCGTCGTAATAAGCTTCATTCATATAACAGTAACCTGTCGTCTAAGAGGTGAGGTTGCTAAGAGTTCACTACTGTGCACCTTTAGTGAATCTTCTACCATAGAGATTGTTTACCTCATTTCATTGGTTAAGTTGACGTTAAGCCTTCCCACACACGAGGATCATTGAATCTGCAAGTCAACTGCTGATATATTAAGAGAACTTTAAATCTCAAACTGGGCTTATTTGACGTAAGTAAAACCTAGCGTCAATAGGCAATCCTTTATGTGTAAATTGTGTTGTTCCTCTCACTGCACGCTGAGATCCATTCATCAGAATATATACCAAGCAGCCTATTTATTATTGTAGGTATGTTTGACTCGTGTACTGAAGCATTTGCACATTTTTCAACTTTGAAACTGGAAACA